AAATTGTAATAGATGAGTTAAGTCAGACCCAGAGAAACAAAGGTAGCTAAAATTTGCCTATAATTCTATAAGTAAACAGGTTGGGTGGTTTGCATGTGGTTTCAAATGTATTAACTGAAATGAGAGACTCTAGAGAGAACTCAAATAATGTAATTCCTTAGAAAGACAAACTCAAAACCCAACAAAATGGGCAACAGAAAATGGGTACTTGCAAGGGGTGGAGGGCCAAGCTGTTGCTGGCCAGGCACTATGTTAGGGATAAATATCTATTTAGTGGTCTGAAAATAGTTGTTACTGCCTAGTGAGGACAATCAGCTGTCCTGCTGCAATATAAAAAACAAGAAGGCACTAAATCCAGGCTGGAGTACAGAAAGGAAAATTCTGGGAAAGTAGATATGACTGAAGGGCACAGGATGAGCAGGCTCTGGCCAGGGAGATGGGAAAGGGACACCGAAAGGGGCCTAGGCAGAGGGAAGGGTCAGGGAATAGGCATGATGCCTAGTATGACTGATGCTAGGCCTCATGCACGTAGGCACCATAGTACATGATGGGGGTCTGAGAACTGCCCGTACCCCTCCTTGCCACATGCAGGTATTTGGGGTTGTCAACAAGGAAGAAATTCTGGTACTTGTCCCTCCCTGACGTCTAGTCTCCTCTTTTCAGAAACTTTATAATAACTGTCTTACATGTGACTGCTGTTCTTGATCTCCCATGGGGTTGATAACATCCCTCTTCTAGCAAAAGCTTTCAGACTTCATGTGCATTGGAATTCCCCATGTGTCTGGTAAAGACAAAGGTCACCGAACCCCATTTCAGAATTTCTGCTTCATTTGGTCTGAAGTGGAATCTGAAAATGGGCATTTTTGAAGAGTTTCCAGAAGACCCCATTTTGAGGGCCCCTGCCTAGAAGCATGCTAAGCTGTTATGTTAACAAGGCTGTGTTTTATATATTTACACTTTTGCTTTCTAGTTTCATTTGCCCTTTTTAAGCTAGTGAGATTTAGTAGTCAGCAGTATAATTTAGTATATCCTAGAGCTGCCATAACCAAGTACCACACACTAGGTGATTTAGAACAACAGACATACGTTGTCTCACTGCTTTGGAAACTTGAACTTTGAAACCAAGGTGTCAAACTGGGCTGAGCCCCTCCTGAAATTCTTCCCTAACTGCTGCTATCTTCTCGTGGCTCTGAGGGTCTTTGGTGTGGTGGTAGAGCTGTAATCTTTGCCTGTGTCTTCACACAGCTATCTTCCCCCCGAATATCTCTGTCTCTTCACATGGCCTTTCACAAAGCCACATTAGAATTGGAAGAGAGTCTATAGGAGATTCAAAATGTGTATCATTCTGCCATAGAATAACACACTGATGCATGAGTCAAGACAAACACCCTCATGCCTCAAATCCTTCTGTTTCTTTCCCATATTCTTCAACAAACAAGCATCAGCTTGGAATATAAGTACTTGATATAACCTGCTTTTTGTAAGTTATGAAGAAAGCAATATTGTTTCAGAAAACTATTCTATGGATTTTATGTTGTGGTGCTTTGTAATGAAATCTTCCTCCTGTGATTGCTAGGACTTATATGATCTGCTCTAACTACACATCTTTCACCTGTGTCTTTGTTGACCTTTGTTTATTTACTCCAGTTTCTAGAAACACTTAAGCAGTAGAGGGATAGGGAATGGGATATTTTGAGAAGGTTGAATCTGAGTACATTTAGCCTGTACTGGTATGTCTATCTCCTCCGACTGCTACTGCTACCCAACTGCTGTCCTGAGATAGTTTAACTAATGTGAACAAGTACTCACTCAGACAGTAACCTATGGTGAGAAGAGGTCTTCACTGATGCTCCGTTGGTCCAGGGAGTTAAACCGTCTTCTCTAACCACCTTCTATCTCAGAGAGAAAGGCAGCCAAAAAGCAACCCCTTCATCCTGTGTTTTCAAACTCTATACACAAGTCCAGGATGGCCTAATATCCGCAGAAGCCATTGTAGGGCTGACTAGACCTCTCATTTCCTGTTAGGCCCTGATTCCATTAGAAAACCCTCACTCTGACTTACCCCAGGGCTATAGGGTAGGTTTGGAGAACTCTGTTTTCAGTATCATTACCCTTGCTTGCCTGGAACTCTGTCACAGCTGTAATCCACAGCAAATGGATTTCCCTGACCCTGGGGACAAAGGCCTAGTGTTTTCTAGACTTGGCGGCTCCTGCAAGGACAGAGCATCAGCATTTCTCCAGCTGCTGATCTTAGGCCTGTGGGCAGCAGAGACCGGTAATATAATCACTCTCCAAGCCAGTTACAGTCAGCACATCAGTCAAAGTGGTCCCTTGTGGTTGGGAGGGGAAAACTGGCTGAAATAGAAATCACAGTCAGGCAAAGCCTGGCCTCATACAAAACCACACAGTGAGTTGGACCCCAGAGAAAACCAGACTTCTAGTTCTGGCTGTTGGCCATTATTGGCTGGCTATGGTTCACAGTAGGAGTGTGCAGTGGGAATGGGTGGCCTTGGAGAAAAAATGAGGTGCTCCTTAGAAGGAAGAGAAGGAAGCATACAAGAAGAAAGCAAAAGGGAATTGAAGAGGCAGGTAAAGTGCAAGGTTAAGAATTCAGAGTTCCTAGCAGGGTGCTGGTGGCTCACACCTGTAATCCTAGCTACTCAGGAAGCTGAGATCATGGTTCAAAGCCAGCCCAGGCAGCAAAGTCCATGAGTCTCTTATCTCCAATAAACCACCAGAAAAAAAAAATGGGGGCTGGGAAGGTGGCTCAGTGGTAGAGCACTTGCCTTGCATACATGAGGCCCTGGGTTCAATTCCTCAGTACCACATAAGCAGAAGAAAAAAAAAGCTGGAAGTGGTGCTGTGGCTCAAGTGGTAGAGCGCTAGCCTTGAACTGAAGAGCTAAGGGACAGCGCCCAGGCCCAGCATTCAGGCCCCACGACCGGACCCTCCCCCCCCCACAAAAATGGAAGTGGTGCTGTGGCTCAAGTAGTAGGGCTTGTCTTGAGCTGAAGAGCTCAGGGACAACACCCAGGCCCAGAGTTCAAGCCCCATGACTGACAAAAAGACAAAAAAAAAAAAAAAATTCAGAGTTGATAATGTGGTATGCCAGCAGGCAAGATATGAGGAGGGTCCACTGACACCTCGGTAGCTGTCCCCGAGACTCCAGGTAGCCTCCTTTACTTCCCACCAGTCTCAGCTTTGAGATAGGAGGAAGTAGAAGTGGGGAAAACCAAAAACTTCCCTGAAGTTCCCTATGGAAGAAGTTCAGAAGCTACTATAAGTGATCAACTCTTCCATATTTAAGTCAGTTCCAGACTCAACTTTACTTCCACTAAAAGCCCAACAAGATCTGGTAACTGGCATTTGGTTTTCCAGACAAGATCCCACTCTCTGAAGCTGAAGGCTTTCTAGGGATGCCTCCATGGTACTGGAAAAGAGTCAAAAGAGAGCCATGTCACCATGACTAAATCACTCCCAAACTGGGCTTGCTATTTGTTTTTACTAGTCCTAGGACTTGAACTTCAGGGCCTCAAGCTCTTACTCTGCTTTTTCCACTCATAGCTGGCACTCTACCACTTGAGCCACTCCTCTAATCCTTCATGTTGTTGATTAATTGGGGACAGAGTCTCTTGGTCTTTTCTTCCCAGATTGGACTCAACCATGATCCTCAGATTTCACCTTCCTGAATAGTTAGGATTACAGATGTGAGCCAGTGTTGCCTAGCTGGGCCTCAGTTTTTGCACAGGAAAAACAAGAGATATTTTATTTCTTTATTTTTTTTATTGTATTATAGTACTAAGGATTGAATTTAGAACCTTACTTTTGCTAGGCAAGCACTCTATCACTTTAGCCACAGCTCCTTTCCGTGGTTAATTTCAGGGTATCCCCTACTTATGCTTCCTTCACTACTTTTTGTCTCTCTAGCAGAAGGAGCAGGTCATAGGCTTTAAAATCAGGCAGACCTGATTTCAAATCTCTCTTGGTAAACCCAAGCTGGCCTTCATGGCAAATGTGTGTCCAAGCCTTAGTCTGCAAGTGATCCCATGAAGGCTGTTTAGAAAGCTGGTGCATACAAATATAGTCATGCCTTGGTATCTGCAGGACATTGATTCCAGAACTCCCCCCAGACACCACTATTTAAGATCAAATCCCTTATATAAAATAGTATGGTACTTCTATATGACCTACACATACTCAATATATTTTAAATCATCTCTAGGTTAGTTATACTACCCACTGCAATGCAAATTCTATGTAAGTGGTTGCTACTCTCTCTCTCTCTCTTTATATAGATAGATAGATAGATAGATAGATAGATAGATAGATAGATAGATAGATAGATTTTTTTTTTTTTTTTGCCAGTCCTGGTGCTTGAACTCTGGGCTGGAGCACTGTCCCTGAGCTTTTTTTGCTCAAAGCTAGTGCTCTACCACTTGAGCCACAGCACCACTTCTGGCTTTTTCTGCTTATGGGATGCTGAGGAATTGAACCCAGGGACTCATACGTGCAAGGCAAGCGCTCTACCACTGAGCCACCTTCCCAGCCCCCACTTTACCACTTTGAGCCACAGTGCCACTCGCAGATTTCTGGTGGTTAATAAGAGTCTCATGGACTTTTCTGCCCAGGCTTGGCTTTTAACTGTGGTCCTCAGAACTCAGCCTCCTGAATAGGATTGCAGGTGTGAGCCACCAGTGCCTGGTTAACTCTGTATTCTTTAGACACAAACAAAAAAACATCCATGTATGGAAGTGATGATGTGGCTCAAGCAGTAGAGCCCTTGCCTCGAGCTGAAGAGCACAGGGACAGCGCCCAAGCCCAAAGTTCAAGCCCCATGACCAAAAAAAAAAAAAACATGTACATTCAATACAGACAAAATTTTTTTCCTTGTATTTCCATTCAAGGCTTGTTTAATTCATGGATGCAGAACTCTAGGATATGGATGTACATTGTCCAATAAGCATTCTCTAAACATTTCTCTCCTCCCTCTTCCCTGCTAGCATCCATCTGCTCTCCTGCCACCTGAGTGCCCTGACTCTGCCACCCTGTAGGCCATGGAGAATGAGCTGCCAGTCCCGCACACGACCAGCAGTGCCAGTGTCACTAGTGGAGCCAGTGGGTCTGGCAGTAACAATGGCTGTAGCAATAGCAGCAGTGGTAGCAGTGGCCGCCCCACTGGACCCCAGATTTCTGTGTACAGTGGGATTCCTGACCGGCAAACTGTGCAGGTAAGGTACAAATTGAGGCAGAACTTTATTGCTTTATCACCTACACAGAGTTCCAAGAGGAAGTGTTAGCATGGTCTAGAGGAATGACCCTTAAGGAGAGAATGGGTCAGTGGCATGTGTGCATATAGTTAGAGGAGAGGAAATACTGCAAGATGGGTCCATTCAAGGAAGTTGGAGGAACAGAGAATAAATACATAGATAACCAGGAGAAAAATAACCGAAAAACAATAAAAGCTCCTTTTCTCCATGATGGTGTGAATCCAAGAATGTTATTTTGAGAGAACATATGTTTGAACATGCAAAAGGCCAGGAAAGAAAGCCAATGACTGGTTGCTGCTCTGCTGCACCCCAAATTCATTATCTCAATAATAACTGCCTAAGGAATAAGTCTAAATTTTTTCAAAGATAGAGGGCCAAAAAATAAAGCTCAAGGTCTTTTGTCTTTGAAGCATTTTCCTTTTCCCCTAAGATTTGCTAAATGTCATGCTAAATGCCTTCTGGGTGATTCCATACTGTTCCAAAATGCAGTCAGGATTGTGCACTTCCATTTGCTTAATACCTAGCTCTGTAGCATTTTGCCTTCTGATCATCTCCAGTTAGCCTCAGAATTGTCTGAGGCTATTCAGGTAAAGAAAAAAATTGAACCTAAACACTCCAGGAACCTCAAGTAGATAATGTTTATTGTGATTCACAATATCTGGTTGAGGTTCTGGGTCATTTGAGCAGATAAGAAGCCACAACTGAGAAATGTTTACTGTAAGTCACTTTGCCTTGTAGTTTGTATATACTAGAAGAGTGACTTCATCCTGAATTGGCCCTCGGCCCAAATATGAGGATAAGGGAGAAGCCACAGCAGACATTGTGAAGCCTGAAAAATCTAGTTAATGAAGACAACCTTGAGATACTGTCTTTGCTCCCAGTTATAGTCACACTTAATCAAACCACTTTTCCTGCTCTCAACCTTGCCTTGCCCTGCCCACAGCTTCTTCCCTTGGCCCTTTCACACAGGATATTTTAGCTTGGTGCCAGCATCTGGCAGGAAACATGCTTGCTCCTACTACCCACAAAACTGCAGGCAAAGGGGGCTGGAGGACTCTGCCCTCGTTGTCCTCTGTACTCTAGTGGAACCACTGGGGCTCCGCTTGATTCCATTCATTGACACCCCTGATGAGGAGGTGTCACAGAGTCTTGCTGCTGCTGGGGATGTCACTTTCAAGAGTCTAAGGAAAATAAGCTTAGGTGAGGCAGCAATGGTGAAAAAGAATAGAGTTCATATAAACAGGATCAGAAAGGGTGAGAATGAGGGATACTTACACAAGCACTGGGAGACACTAGGACTACAGAAGATCTATAACCTTAGCCTGCTTTCATAGAAACCCAAGTCTGAGCCCAGAGCTTTCACCAGGAGCTGCCTAAAAATCACACTAAGTTGGGGATATCTTGACCAGAGGCTCAATTGTGAGACAGGGCCCAAGACCAGGAGCAGTCTTGGGCCAGAGACAAGTTGGCTGGAGTCTGGCCAGGGCCAGGGCCAGTATAGGACATTAGCTGGGAAGAAAGGGCAGGAGAAGAAAGATCTGTCTCTAAGCCTCATGAGAAAGCAGGTGTCTCAGGGCTATGGGAGGCACTCACTGTCCTTTGATTCTGGTTGATGGGGGATTTGAAAACAAAAGCCTTTTATTATTTCCTAGAGACTGCTGTTCAACTAGAGGTGGGGAATATCTGGCCCATGGGCCAAACAAGGCCTGAAAAATCATTTGATATATGACAGGACAGACATGTTCACTTCTTGTCAGCTGCCCGCAGCCATCTGTCTATATTGATAATTTTTGATAGCTCAAGTGATGTTATATTCAAATGGCACTTGTCTGGAAGAAGGTTGTCCACCTCTGAAAACAATAAAGCTAAAGAGAGAGAGAGAGAAAGAGAGAGAGAGAGAAAAAAAAATCTCTGCAAAGAAGAAGCAAAGAAAAGAAAAGGCTAGGGAAAGAAAGAAGGAATCAAAGGAAAATGTGCCAGTCCGGGGTCACAGGCATACGCAGCAAGACAAAGACAACATGAGAGACTGATAAGAACTCTCTGGGAGTTCTGGGCAGATCCTGGAGAGTGGCACCAAGTCGCCTTTTGAAGCCCTACCTTCTAGAGAGGCAGCTGCCTTCACATGAGTCTGAATTTGGCTGGCTTCTGCTGAATATGGAACAGGCTGGCTTGGATCTTCTTCTCAGCTCCTTTCTTCAGTCTGACTTCTGAACTTTGTCCTCATTTGAGGTAGTGGAGGTGGGGGTGCTACCCAAGCCTGTCCTAGGAACTCTGCCTCCCTGAGAGTAGGTCAGGATGGTGGGGTGCTGACAACTGATTAGAAGCAAACATGTCAGGGAGGAGCCAAAGGCAGAGGTAAGACAGACAACATAGGCAGCTTGTACACAGCTCTCTCTTCTGCTCCTGGAGAGAGGGAGATGGGTTATGGTGGGGTTTTTCTCCCAACCATTTGGTGAGCTGATGTCAACAAGGCATGACCACAGGGGCATGCTATGCAGCCACTTGATGCCCAGATACACTGTTGTCCTTCTCAGGTGATCCAGCAAGCCCTACACAGGCAGCCCAGCACAGCAGCTCAGTACCTGCAGCAGATGTATGCCGCCCAGCAGCAGCATCTCATGTTACAGACAGCAGCCCTGCAGCAGCAGCACCTTAGCAGTGCACAACTCCAGAGCCTGGCAGCTGTACAGCAGGTAAGCCATGGGAAGACCCTGGCTCCGAGGCTCCTTTCAAGGAATCAGGACAAGTGAGCAGAAGGGCAGGAAGCAGGCCCTGCCCCCAGGCTTCCCACCAGAGCTCCTTCCATAGAAGCATGGCTTGTCAGCACATCCATTACTCCAAGATGACACTGCTAGTGAGTGGCTAGAGCAGCTGTAGCCCTCACCAGCTGGCCCACATCCCATGCTGTAGGGCAGGAACAGCTACCCCCAAGGAGATGCTCACAAATAAAGGCATGCCAGCTCACTTGTCCACCTGCCCAGTTTACCTCTGTTCTATGAGAACATATTAATTTATACATTCATTCACTTGTCTCCTTGAAAGATCACAAGTAAACAGGAACTAAAATAGACAATGTTTTTAAAGGTCTATGATAAGCCCTATGAAAAAAGAACAAATTGCTATGACTGAGGGACAAGGAGGACAGCCCTACACTCGGTGGACAGGGAATCACTGTCTTCTAGGGTCACATTAAAGCTAATTCTTTAAGGCTAAGAAGCTTTCCAAGGGGAGAGGGACAGACTGGATATGCCAGACTGTGTGCACAACTCTCAGCATGGTACCATGGGCCATTGGGTAAGGTGGAGAGATGGGGAGAACTGGGGAATGCTGGGCAGTAGCGATGGCAAGCAGTCACAGTGCTTGGTGTTGGTGCTCATCTGCTCAGCAACTTTCTGGGTAGGTATCATTATCTCTGCTTGTAAGAAGGGAGTCTGGGCCCTTGCTCAAGGCCATGTGGAGGCAGGCAAGTCTGGGCTTCAAAACTGATTTCCTGACCACTGTCCAATACTTCCAGGAAGATAAGGACTCAAAAATGACTAAGGACAGAGGAGGCTGCAACACTAATGATAAGAGTTTGTTCTTTTTCAGGCAAGCCTGGTGGCCAACAGACAAGGGAGCACTTCTGGCAGCAGTGTGTCTGCACAGGCTCCAGTCCAGTCATCTTCGGTGAGTACTGGGTGTGAGTGACAGGCAAAGGCCACAGCTCTGCCTCCCCTCCCAAGAAGCTTTTGACTTCCTGGACCCCAATGTGGAGCATCCTTATCCATACAGGACCATGTATGCAGTATGTTGTTCTTGCCAGGAAAAAGCAATGTGAATCTCTTTCTAAGCCTTACATTAGCACCCTGTCATCTTTCCAAGGTTAAGGTGCTCTTGCTAGCTGGGGTCTTTCAACATCAGGTCCTCCCTGCAGTTTGGCACCTAGGCTTGAGATGGGGCAGTGCTCAAGGCAACTCCTAGGCCCAAGAACCAGGATACTGCATAAACCAAGGAACAGAAGACAGTGAGGGCAAGAAATGGATGAGGAGCAGTCATGGTGGTGCATACCTGTAATCTAGACTAAAGCAGAAGGGTCAGGAGTGCAAGAATAGCCTGAGCTACATAGTGAGTTCTAGACCAGCCTGGGCTACAAAGGTTTAAAAAAAAAGGCATGAGGACACCATTCGCCAAGAGCCTCCCATTTCCTTTTACTCATTTCTCCTGTATCAGATCAATCTGGCAGCCTCTCCAGCAGCAGCTCAGCTCATCAACCGGGCTCAGAGCGTCAACTCAGCCACAGCCTCTGGTCTTGCCCAACAAGCTGTGCTCTTGGGCAACACATCTTCTCCAGCTCTAACTGCAAGCCAAGCACAAATGTATCTCAGGGCACAGATGGTGAGTACCCACAATCTGGGCTGTGACTCCTGGACTAGAGGACACAAGCAGATAAGGTGGAAGACCAATATTAGCGATAGGAAGGAAGGACTGAGGGCCAGGAGAAACTGCAAGTGGGAGAATAAAACAAGGTGGGCCTGGAAGGCTGAGGGAGAGCATGACATGATTTCCAGGACTACAAGAAGGATGGAGTGCCGGGCGCTGGTGGCTCACGCCTGTAATCCTAGCTACTCAGGAGGCTGAGATCTGAGGATCGTGGTTCAAAGCCAGCCCGGGCAGGAGATACCGTGAGACTCCTATCTCCAGTAAACCACCAGAAAACCGGAAGTAGCGCTGTAGCTCAAGTGGTAGAGCGCTCGCCTTGAGCTGAAGAGCTGAGGGACAGCGCCCAGGCCCAGAGTTCAAGCCCCACGACCGACAAAAAAAAAAAAAAAAAAAAAAAGGATGGAGCTTTAATCTGAGACTGAGAAAGCCACCAAGCATGCTTCCCTTCCCTGTCTTCCTAAAGTGAAACAGAATTGTTTCCTCATAAGAAACAATTTCTCAGAATTAAGGACAGTACCTGAGCCGTGCCCAAAAGTTCTCATATACTCACACTGTAAGATAATGAGCAGACAGACACCAGGTACTGCACAGAAATGGGATTTTCCTCCTGGATACTTTCCCTGAAGGTCCATGGAAGGACTAGCCACCTCCAGCTCAGGGGCCAAAGGTGCACTGCCACCTCTGGGGATAGAGCTTCAGAGCCCGCTGCTTGCTGCTGCTTCCACTGCCATTCCCACTGGGCCCCCTTCTTCCTAGATCCTGGTAAGCTTCTTTGATCAGAACAGACACTGGTCACAGACAGGCTACGACCAGCGTGCTTGAGTCTCTACTGTGTATCTGATCCTAAGGGATCCAGAAGACCTTAGGAGCCTAACAAGCATCTAATATTCAGATGTCTTGGGACATTAGCAGCAGTCTCCAGGAGGCTAGGTGGGCTCCAACCAGAGTCAAATATCATATGTAATGCACTGAGGTGACTTCTCCTTCTGCTGCTCAACACACCATCTCAAAAGAGTACAGTCCTGCCCCTTCCTTTGCTCTGGTGGCTGGAACTTGGTGCTTGGAGCTTTTCTGATCTTGTTCCCACACTTTTGTTACCAGCTCTGAGCTCATCATTTAAGACACATCCATTGTCAGAGAATGCTTCCTGGACACAACATAAAACAGACTTCTGTTTCCCAACCTTGCCTCCACTTTACTGATCCCATGTCTCCCTCTGTGCCCCCAGTGGGGTCCTCATGCCTGTCTGCTGCCCCACAAAAGGAGGATTCACATGCACAGAGGAACAAGCCTCTGTGTATTAGCTGTAGGGAAGGCACAGGTGCTATCCACATGGACGCAGAACTAGACTCATGTGGAGTCTAAGATGCCAGCAGAGTCTGGGCCATTTGCCTCCTCTGCTACTGTAGCCTCTTGGTGCCTTGAATCAAAATTTGGCCAGAAAGTGGCCACCAGCACCTCTGATTTAATCCTTTTGGAGAGAAAGTCTTGTTCCAACCCAGCCCAGTGGTCAGGACTAGAAAATGATCTTCCAGTATCGGCCCAAGGACCCCAGCATATTTAGGAGATTAGTGACTTGAGTGTATGTTGGAAACAGACTCCTGTAGGATGAGCCCCTCATAGAAGGTCCAGAGCCCCAGAGCAGCTTTTTTCCCCCACCTCTGTGTCCTGCCACTGCCCAGCTTGGGTCAGTGAGCTGTAAGCCTCCTGACACTCCACCCAATCCCCGGGCCTCCTACCCTTTCTTGCCTCCTGTTCCACTTGCCTAGCCACCCTTATGTCTATTCCCTGGCTCAACTGTTCTGCCCTGTGGCTGAGCCCACATTGGGCAGGTAAAAGGCGCCTCGTTTCCTGTGATTCCAGGCCCAGCCAGGTAACCTGGTGCAGGTAGCTAGGAGCCTAGGCGGCACTGTTCCTTTGTCCCCTCAGCTCATCTTCACGCCCACGGCCACCGTCGCTACCGTGCAGCCTGAGCTCGGCACTGGCTCCCCCGCCCGGCCCCCTACCCCTGCCCAGGTGAGGACCCCATGCTGGTGGGAGGGAAGGGGGGTGGGCAGCACTGTAGATGGGTGGGGTGCTGGGAATGGGTAGTCCTGAAGGAGCTCTAGGTCTGTGCAAATGCTGAGCTCTTGTAGGGAAGCAGGTGAGCTGGACAGCCCAATGATTCCAAGCACTCTTTCATGCCCATCCAGACAGCCTCAGCCACTTTTGACTTCATGTTGGTCCCTCAAATAGAGTAAAGGAGTCCAAGGGCATTATATTGAGGCCTTCAGACCTTACACTGCTCCACTCCATCCCCAAGTAACTTGCTTTGTTGTTGCTTTGCCATTAGATTATCCCTTGGGTTACATTTGTCAACACAGTTAAGAGTGGGGAAGTGGGCACTGGAGAACGAGGATGAGTACTAAGCTCTTGCCTTCAGTAGCACATAGCTGCTATTATAGCTGTGAGAATCCTGTGGTTGCTGAGAAGAGACTTTTTCACTCTCATCTCCCACACCATCTCCACAACAGAGACCTAGGAGGTTAGAGGCGGGGAGGGGGAGGGAGGGATGACCAGTTTGCACAGCACCTGTATGTCCAGCAGAGGGCGCCAGGGACCATGCTGAGTAAGCACGTCTGTCTTAGCCTTGTGCTGGGGACAAGCTAATCCTTTACCTGATGGCCTTGCTAGGCAGTTAACTTTCACTTTTCCATGGCCTTATCCAGCATAGGAAGCTCCATGCTTCACTGTGCCTGGAAATTACCTGCGTGTTATATATCCAATCCTGATAGTTTAGAGGTGGAATAGAAGGAGGATTCATGGAAAGGAGAGCCTACCCTCCTTTGCCCCAGCCTGGGTAGCAGTCGCTTCTCAGAATTCAGTTCCTTCTGCTGGTAGATCTGATTGCTAGTGACCTTTTTTGTCTTCTTTAGAAACTGTATCTGCTCCTGATTCCTCACTCAACCCCTAACTCACTCTCTTTCTCTCTTTCCAATTTTACAACCCACTATCCTGTTTGGCCATTCCTGGATCTATCCCTAACTCTTCCTGTCTTAGTTGTGTGTTGACATTACTCCTATCTCATTCTCTGGACTCCCATAGACCCCTCTTTTCCAGGTACAGAATCTGACCCTCCGAACACAGCAGACACCAGCTGCAGCAGCCTCGGGCCCTACCCCTACTCAGCCTGTCCTGCCCAACTTGGCCCTGAAACCCACCCCTGGCAGTAGCCAGCCTCTGCCTGCCCCTTCACAGGGCAGAAACACTGCTCAGGCTTCCCCTACAGGTGCTAAACCTGGCATAACTGACAGTGTGATGGAGCCTCTCAAGAAAGGAGATGGCAACAGCAGCCTGCCAGAGAGTATGGACAGCAGGACTGGGCTCAGCCGGACAGTTCCTGCTGTAGCTACCCACCCCCTCATTGCACCAGGTAAGGACTCCAAGAAGTACCAGCCACATCTCTTCCTCTACTAATTGAGTGTGTGTGTGAGAGAGAGAGACAGAGACAGAGAGAGGGAGGGAGAGGGAGTAAGAGGGAGGGAGGGAGAGGGAGTAAGAGGGAGGGAGGGGGAGGGAAAGAGAGAGAGAGAGTACTGGAGCTTGAACTCAAGAGTCTTGTGTTCTCACTTGCCTTTTTTGCTCCAAGCTCACTCCCTACCACTTGAGCCATACCCCCACTTTTTTCAAATTAATTGAAGATAAGAGTCTGGAAGATTTATGTTCCTAGGCTGGCTCCAACCCGCAATTCTCAAATCTCAGCCTCATGAGTAGGTAGGATTATAGGCTTGAGCCAACAGAGCCTGGCTCCCTCTCCCAATCTTGAGGTGCTTACTAGCTCCTGATTCTGCTTCATTCTTCTAATGTAACCTTACAAGATGAAGTCACATGGATAGAAATCAGTGAGTCCTTCTTTATAATGGGCTCAGTGTTGAATTTGAGTACATGATTATAGCTCTTAATTCCAAGTGAACAGGCATTGTAGGATAGACTGTTTTGAAACTTCCTAGTAGGCGTCAAAAGGGACAGGAATTAGCCAGGAACGTGTGACAACCACTAGGGAGTTGGGAAGTGACCCATTTATTTTTCCTCATCCAGCAGAAACTTGTTGACTAATGTTTGCTAGTGGTGTTGCCACTTCTGAGTGTACAGATGGCAGTGAGATCAAGAAGGACAATCTGGGTGAGGGGACAGGAGCAGTACAGCATAGTCTTCTCAGAGCTTTGAGCACTATGAGCACAGAGCCATCTGATCTTGGAGTGAAGAGCTGCAGAAGTCTGCCAGTGAAGGCAACAACTTGAGGATTTTTTTTAAAGAACAAATTCAGCTGATTACTTACGGGGTAAATTCTACAAAGAGGATGATTCAGTATTCCCTGGCTAGACTTGTTCCTCCCTGCTAAACTTTTCCCAGAACTACCTATTACAGGCAATCTTTAATGGAAAAGTTTGCCAAGAGCCCTAGAAGCCAGCCTTACCAGTCCATAGAACAAGACAAAGTTCTGTTATTCCAGAGAAACAAGTATAGTGGTAGACCATATGGTTTGGCATTAAAAAGAGAATTACTCTGCTCACATTCCTAAGCAAATCACTGGCCCTCTGTCCTCATCCAGACCATTTTACAGTTCAGTATAACTGTGTGTGTGTGTGTGTGTGTGTGTGTGTGTGTGTGTGTGTGTGTGTGTGTGTGTGTGTGTGTGTGTGTGTGTTTCCTAGAAAACATACTATATGCTTGTCACCAGACTTAAACCAAAATGGTTGGGGATAGAGGTGTAGCTCAATGGTAAAATACTTGCCTAGCATACAAGAGGCTCTGGGTTCAATCCCCAGTATGAGGATAAAAAAAAAGAAACGGAAAAAACGGTCAAAATATAATTTTTGGGGGGGTCTGGTTATGGGGCCTGAATGCTGGGCCTGGGCGCTGTCCCTCAGCTCTTCAGCTCAAGGCTAGTGCTCTACCACTTGAGTCACAGCGCCACTTCTCGCTTTTTTTTTATGCTTATGTGGTGCTGAGGAATCAAACCCAGGGCCTCATTCATGCAAGGCAAGCGCTCTACCACTGAGCCACCTTCCCAGCCCTATAATTTCTTACTTAAAAGAGTATATGGGCAAAAGGAGGGAGCCAGATATACAAACAAATCCATTGAATTTTGTAATATTATTGTAGGTACAATGGGCACATATGGCTAACTCTTCCACACAGGATAATTCTCTCTCAGAGAAAGTGGCATCTGAGTCTTTTTTAAAATGGAGTTACACTGTGAAGCCCAGGCTAACCTTGGACTTGTGATCCTTCTCCTGACTTCCTCTCCCAAGGGATGGGATTACAGTAGTATACCACTTCACAGTTTTGCAGTTGAATCAGCGCATGAGCAATGACCCAGCAGACAAATAGGAAAGGGCAGAAGGCAAAGTGTGAAAAGGCAATAGAAAGCACAGATTGAGCATGTGGTACTGAATTGGAGGAAAACAAAGCTAAAGCCATTTATTCACCTTTTTGAGATGTCAGACACCACTGGGATAAAGGGTCAGTAGCTGCCTTCCAGTGGTCACTGCTGAGCTGGGGTTGGAAATATTCCTCACTGTCTGGCATTGGTTTCTACAGGGACGGGGCCAGCCTCTGCCTTTTATGGACAAAGAAGCTGAGGCTCAGAAGAGTAAAACTGTGGAATCACACAGTATGTTTAGAGCAACTTGAGACAGAGCTAGGACCTCTCAACCACATTCCCTCTATGTTCCCAAACCACAAACCCTAGAACAATATTCAAGACTTCCTAAGAACCCCATTGCTGCTCAGGCCAAAACTCAGCTTCTTTGTAAACCTAAGCCAGCCCCCTAAATCCTACAGAAGGCTCAAAAGAAAGATGTTCCTGGGTTCCTCCTGAGGCTGCTAGGCATCTCTGGGGTCTCAAGAAAATTTAACAGTGAAAAGGGACCAGCACTTAGTCTATCATATATCAGAGAATACAACAGACATTTTACACACACCTCTTCTCTAAACCTTTAAAAGAGGCCTATAAAGTGGGTGTGTCTTATCCATTCTACCAATGGGAAAACCAAGGTTCAGGGAGGTTCCCCAAGAACTCACTACACAACTCACTCAAGGTCACCCAGGTGCAGAACAGGGACTCAGCTCTACCCCTGGCACAGTGAGCTCCTGCATCTTTTATCATCAAGGTATGGGTAGCTCTCTTACAAGGACAAGGGGCTCTGCTGCCTTTCTTGTTTCCAACCCATAGTTCAAAGAGCCTGGTGCTTCTAAGGCTGTTTGGGTTTCTAGAGCCAGATGGTGAGTTCTCTGCTCTTAAGCCTCAGGTTTGAGGTCCGGGGGCAAAGGTGTGGCTTGTGACTAGCAGTATTATAGCCATAATCCAGTGCAGAGACCATTAGCCCCACAGAACTTTCTATGGAGCAGCTGTAAGCTAAGTAGGACAAAGACCCTCTCCCCTAGAGACACAGATCAGTGGGCCTTGCATTGTTCCTGCCTCCCACCGTTGGTCCTATTCTTCCTTTCTCTCCCACCCCTTCCTCTCTGAAAGCCCTGACTCCCACCCCACAATTGGAAGGCAACTGGAGGAAGCATAGGAGCAGCAGATCCTCTCAGTGCCTCTGAACAAAGAGACTGAAATAATTCTTGCAGCTTGATGGGGGGGGGGGGGGGGAGAAGCAGCCTGAAGCAGCACCTATCCTGGGCTACACAGTTCCCCAGGCAAGGGTGACTTCTGGCCTTCTGCCCAGCGAGCCCACGGTGTATGAACCGTGGGAGGGAGGGGAGCCTGAGAGAGCAGAAAAGCAAAAGCAAGCTTGTTCATGGAAGGGAGGGAGGAAGGAAAGGAGAGAGAGAGAAAGACAGGGGAGAGGGAGGGGAGAGAGAGAGAGGGAGGGGGGGAGAGAGAGAGAGAGAGAGAGAGAGAGAGATCTCCTAGCAGCAGTAAAGAGGCTAGAGCTCTGGTTTCATTTGTCATAGGTTTATTTGTTTTTCTGGGTTGGTTTTTTTTGTTTTATTTTGTTTTTGTTTTTTTTAAAGCTGGCTTGCTGACTGCCTCCAGGGAAAGTAGACAGGGGAGACTTCTGGGGTGCTAAGGGAAGTATGGCAGAGAGAAATTTGACATCCTGGGGGTATTTCCTCCCAAAGAGGCAAACCCTCTAGTCCCAGCTGGGACCGCTCCCACTGACAGCTGTTTGGGGGCAAAGCCCCTCCCCCATGGCAAGCTCCCTGCTGTTCCTGCTCCTGTCACCTTGGCAACCGGTTTCTTTAGGCTCTGCAAATAGAAAAGGTCCCTTATGCCCTGAAAGGGGGTGGGATGGGGGAGGGGAGCCAAGGGAGAGTGCCCAAGAGGGTTGTGCTGTGGAAGAGAAGGCAAAAGGTCTGGCCTTGCACTTCTTGAGGACAGGAGGACTGGATCACGGAGGGCAGAAGAAGGGCAGGCAGCAAGGGTCCTAGGGCCTGGCCTCTAGGGAAGCTGAGTCCCAAGGGAGCTGGGTCACGGCTCCAACTAGGAGGCTTGGTTCTTGAAGTCCTCCTTCTAGACGATAAACTCCAGGCTTTGGGTGACACTCAGACCCACAGGTGAGGAGAAAGTTGCTGACTGGGAGGGGGATGCTGTGATAAGACAGAGTTGTCAGGGTCATGGAAAATCCTGGCCCCTTTCTCCCTATCAGTTGTGCCTGCAGATGCCAGGCCTTTGTTTGGCATCCTCAGCTCGCCTCAGGTCTCAGCTAAAGGGAGAATCTCTGTTGGGCAGGCCTGCCACATAGCTGCTTTGTTTTACCACAGAGGGTGTTGTATGTGTGTGATAGTCTGGACAATGTGATGCTTGCTGGTTCTGAGAGTCTTGGTCCCTTATTGCCCTCCCAAAGCAGCCTCCAAACTGTGGGGTAGACACACTTTTACTTAAGAGAATCCACTAAACAATAAAGCATACAGGTGTGGGTCTGTTATCTAGCTGGGAAGCAAAACCTTGTCAATGCTGATGCTAAAATCATGAAACAAGCCAGAAAGTCATTTCAACTAGCCACTATAGCACAAAATTTAAATTACAAAGAATATCTTCTATTCAGGGGGAAAAAATAACAAGAACATATAAATTACCAGTGTACAAGGTTTACAGTTTGCTTAGCATCCTTCACTGCCTCTGTGTGTATGTGTTTGTATACAAGTATACATGTATGTGTGTATATCTGTGTGTCTTTGTGTGTAAGAAAGAGAAAGCTGGCTATGACATACAAAGGTCCCTTATTGAGCATTCCATCTTTCTGGAAGTTTTTGGCCTTAGGTTTCATTATACTTCTGGCTGCTGCCAGCCAATAGTAATAATTACCAGTTAATGACCAACCTAACTACTTTACCTACATATCTCATTCAATCCTAACAATGATTATTTCAGTCCATGAATAAAAAAGATAGAGTTCACAATGAATAACTAGCTGTTGT